CGTGTCTAGGTCTTATGTAATAGTTAAATTGGATACTTTCCCTATGTAAGGATTTTAATTCTATCACATTGGAAACCTTGGTTTATCAAAATGTGTATTAAAAACATAGCTATCAAACTAAAACCTAAGTTATTTCAAAATTAGATTGTTTAAGGTGTTCTAAGCCTCTCCTGAGATTTCAAAAGAATTTTTTTTCTGACTTTAAAAAAATAATGTGAATTCTGTTTACAGCTTCTGTAAAAGCCAAAAAGCCAATCTTAAAAATGCAAATTAAAGTGTTTCATTTAAAGGAGTTGCTAAGTAACTAAGATAAGTCAATAACAGGCTTATCAGTGTCTTCACAGATATTGGTAAAATAACGATCTCTTAAAATTGGTACACATGGCCAAAATTTTAAGTACAAATCAAGATCTCCTCTTGTTTTACCTCCATGGGTTTAATTATAAACTGGAGCCTATATAAATTCTGACAAAAACATATTTTGAGATCGCAATCTAAGATTTTTGGTAAACTACTCGAAAAGCTAATGATTCGAAACGTGCCTTAAAGTTATAATGTTGTGGGGCCTCCCCGGTGGCGCAGCGGTTGAGCACTGGGTTGCGAAGCTGACCTCAGCTTCTGCAGCACCGGTTTGATCCCCGGCTGCTCCCCGGCCACCAGAGGAGGGTCCCACGTGGCGCGCAGACCTCTCCTGCCGCCCGCTGCTCCCCTCAGCAGTGTACTTCGGTCCTTCTGCCTGCTCTGCTCCCCGCTCTGGCTCTGGTGAATTCTCTCACCCTCACGCGCTTCTGACTGTACCCAGTGCTTGTACAAATAAATAAATAAAATAAATAAATAAAAAATAAATCTTAAAAAAAAAAAAAAAAGTTATAATGTTGTGAGGCCTCCCTGGTGGCACAAGGGGTTAAAACACAACCTATGAAGCGGTCCTCAGTCACTGCAGCAGGAGCATGATCCCCTGCCAGGGAGCTACCCTACCCACATGGTACAGCAGATCTGTCCTGACTAGGGGGCTGTTCCCCTCAGCAGTATATGTCAGTCAATCTGCAGTTTGGTTCCCCACTCTGTCTCTGGTGAATCTTCTCACCCCCCACACCTCTGGCCTGCACCCCAGTTTTTGTATGCATAAATAAATCTAAAAAAATTATATTGTTGTGCATTAATAATTTGTATAAATGTTGCTTACTAAACAAAGCTCATGGTATTCAGATAAAAAAGGTAATAAATCTGGTTTGCTTTTCAATGTCTATAGACATTTCTTTACCAAATTCTCTTCCAGGAACACAAATTAGCTTATCTCTTTAGAAAGAGCTTTTGTTTTTCCTCAGAGAAAATGTCTTAACTTTCTTTCTCTGGGTCCTAGCCAAAATCCAGATGACATCTAAAGCAAGGTGGACAAACTACTCAGTCCTACTGAATCACATAACATCTCTGATTTTTCTTGCTTTGCCCATCCTGGTAATGCATGCTCCATTATTTGCCAGCCTAGAAAAACCTTGGAGTGTGTAATTGTTCCATTAACAGCCCTGCAATTTGGAATTCCAGTCCTAAAAAAAAAAAAAAAACAAAAAACTAAAACTACAACTGGTAACTCTTTTTTTTTTTTTTTAAATAGAGGCATGTTTTTATTTATTTATTTATTTGTTTGTTTTGTTTATACATGCACTGGGTACAGTCAGAAGCGCAGGAGGGTGAGAGAATTCACCAGAGCCAGAGCGGGGAGCAGAGCAGGCAGAAGGACCGAAGTACACTGCTGAGGGGAGCAGCGGGCGGCAGGAGAGGTCTGCTTGCCATGTGGGAACCTCCTCAGGTGGCTGGGGAGCAGCCGGGGATTGAACCGGCGCCGCAGAGGCTGCAGGCAGCTTCGCAACCCAGCACTCAACGGCTGCACCACCGGGGAGGCCCTTAAATCTGTCCTTTTCATTGTCTGCCAAAAAACTAATAATAACTTGCTAAATATCTAAAACTACTTTCCCTTGTAACAAACAGCTTTCAGATATACTTTTTGCTCCTTATTGGAAGGAGACAAATTTCCAGTCTTTTTTTTTTTTTTTTTTAAAGATTTATTTATTTATACAAGCACTGGGTACAGTCAGAAGAGCAGGAGGGTGAGAAAATCCACCAGAGCCAGAGCAGGGAGCAGAACAGGCAGACTGACGAAGTACACTGCTGAGGGTACCAGCGGGTGCCGCAGAAGAGGTCTGTGTGCCATGTGGGACCCTCTCTGGTGGCCAGGGATCAAACCAGCACTGCAGAGGCTGCGGGCAGACTGGCAGCCCAGCGCTCAACCACTGAGCCACCCGGGAGGCCCTCCCATCTACTTTTTGCTCCTTACTGTAAGGGAACTAAAGTTTTGATGTCATCTCAAAAAAAAAAAAAAAATTAAAAGATGTGTTTGTGTAAGTTGTCTAGTCGAAAGAGATGATAGTATAACAGGTATTACAATGTCTTACAACGTAGAGGTTAAAAACTAGGATGTAGTAACTGTAAATGCAAGTAAGGTAAGGTATGTGTGGGAATAAAAAATGTATTGAAGGTGGGTATTCTGAAGGTCCTTAAGAAAATTTAACGTAGGAAGGGTAAATGAAATGGTATTAAAAAGAAAGAAAGCAAAGCATTGAAGGTCTGAGAGAGATTTTGGTAAAAAATTTTGTGTGCTGAGGTGAATTACTATGAAAGGTTTTGTTAACTTGAATATCAGTAGTGCACCCATGTACCACCAAGCGTTAGTCCTTTTTATATATAAAAATTAAGGTATTCTAAAACTAATTTCACTAGTTTTGTAATAGGGTGGTCCCCAGGAAAGGGGGAGGTTCCAGGTTCCCTGCCCCACCCAAGGGAGGGTGGAGCTGAGCAGGAAGAGAAGAAGCTGCAGAGGAGACTGAGGAAGGAAGGAAGCAGAATGGAGCCAGGAGACCTGGAGGAGGCACATGGAGCCTAGAGACACGTGAAGAAACTGCGCTTGTCTTTTGGTCGTGGACGGGGTGACACAGATGTGGGTGAGACCCGTGGGGAGGTGACAATGGCAGCTTTTATCTTGATTTTGCTCTTTTTCTTCTGGGCTTGTCTGGTTGTTTTTGACCCTTTTCTGTGGGTCCCTACTGGAAGACGCTTTAGACTTGTGGAAGGCTTTGGGGCCTTGCTGGGCCAATCTCATTTGGATGGAGTTTTACCCAGGAGGGGACGGGTAACTTTGGGTGCTTGATTTAGAAACTAGATATTTTGCCTTTCCTGTATTGTTTCCTAATTGTATTAAAGTTCCTTCCCATTAAAGTCTTATGTTTTGTGTTAATGCGGCGGATGGCAGAACCCATTTAGAATAGGCAGGTTTGTGGGGCAGTTTCTTATAACAAATTAAAGACTGTTCAGGTAATCTAAAAATCTTGGTGCTCTTCTACCCTCAGGTCACCTACAAAAACCCTTATGTCAGCATTGCTGAGCCTTGTCAAAGTGTTATAGAGCAGCCCCGATATTGAACGGGTTCCTGGCTGTGGGTCCTCACCCGTGTGCTTAAAAGGGACTTATGAATACTCCACTACAGACACACACAAAAGGTTAATAAAAGGTTTATTTACAAGGGAAAAGGAAATAAGGAAAATGTACAACTCAGGGAGAAAATAGGGAAATAAAGTCTTTAATGTGTCCTACCCGATCCGGAGACCTGGAAACCCAAAGTCACTCTCAGAGGTGGCCAGATGCTGCGAGCTGGCGGAGAGCCAAAATGGGGATCCCCCAAAGCCCACGTGTCTGCCTTTTTATATCCACTTGGCTGCTTAACCCCACCCTCAGGTCCCAGCCACCTTCCCTTTGGTGGTGATGGGATTTGGAGTTCCCAGTGTCTTTGGCTTTGACCTGGGGTGGGGGTGGAGTCCACAAAGCCTGTATGGAATTAGCTTTGGGACATCCTTTTCCCCCTAACAAAAGCAATAGATCTACTCTTAAAAATCCTTGTCACTCTGAGTAATTGTTTTATAAAGATCTATAAGTTTGTTCTATGACTGTTCATTCTGAAATAGTAAAGTTTTTGTCTTAAGAGGGCTCTTAAGACACCTAATAAAATTGTTTTTCATTGTGAGAAACAAACATGTCAATTTGGGTATACTGATAGCTCATAGGAAGTATTCTCATAGGTTTGTTACACCTTTTCAACATAAATGTAAACTAATGAGTTTGTTCTAAAATACGTAAGAGGGCCTCCCCTGGTGGCACAGGTGGTAGAGCACAGCGCTGTGAAGCTGTCTGGCTGGGGAGAATCCCACATGGCACAGCAGACCTCTCTAGACTTTCACCCACTGCTCCCCTCAGCAGTGTATTTCGTCAGTCTGCCTGTTCTGTTCTGTTCCCCACTCTGTCTCTGGTGAGTCCTCTCCCCTCCCATGCATCTGGCCTGTACCCCAGTTCTTGTATGCATAAATAAGTAAATCTTTAAAAAATAAAAAAATAAAAATAAAATACACAAGACTTCGTAAAACCTAATAAGCCAGTCAATTATAAAAGGGCTAAAAAGAAGTTACTCAAAAGCCAAAAAATCCCACATCATTTCAGACTGAATTTGCTGACGCTATGAAAAGGTATACTAATCTAGCCTAGAAGAGGACAAGCATTTTAGCGGTCTTATTCATTTGTCAGCCTTGCTCTGACATCAGGTTCAGGCTCCAGAGACTAAACCAAGGGCGACTAGTGAAACCCGTTCACAAGTTCACAAACCTCGAGCCTAACACGAGAGGGCGAGGTGATTCTGGGGACTCATTTTATGAGTTTACACCAGATATACGCAGAAAGCTCCAAAAACTTAGCCATGGGATCCCAAACTCTGCCACACCAACTTTTAAAAGTGGCTTTTAAAATCATTAATAACAGGGGCCAAAGGAAAGGGTTAAAAAGGGAAAGTAAGTTGTGGCCAGCGAGTAAAAGGCAGGCTCCATTAATAGGCACTGCCATTGCCAGCGCCCTGCAGACTCAGGCTTCCCCAGGCTCAGAGGAACAGAATACTTACTGACCTGCCTGGAAGAAAGAATGGAGGAGCTTCAATGGCCCGGTTAGACTGGTGCAACAAGTCTGGGCACTGGAGCAGGAAAGGCACATTGAAAGGTCCATGCAGGAGGCCAGAATGCAAAAGCCCACCAGGAAGACCACCCAGGGGCAGGAATGCAGAAGCCTGCCTGGAAAATTCAGACAATGAACCCCTCCCCGACCTTGAATCTTTTCCCACCTTGCAACTCCAGTCTCCCACCTGACCTCTCCTTACTCTATAAAAGCCTCCCTCCCCCTGGCGATGTGCAAGGCTTCACAGACCCCCCACCTTGAGTCCGGGAATTCCACCTGGGGCGCAATAAATTTCCCCTTCCTTTGAGAAAGCTTGGCCTGGCTCTTCTTTTCTTTGCCTTGCCGAACCTTTCACACACAACTCAGAAATCCACCTGGGCTGTGCCTGAGGTGCAAGAAAGAAGGCCACTGGAAAAGGGATTGTCCCCTTCTCTGAAGGGAGGAGCCACCAGACCCTCAGCTGCCAGCCCGTGCCTCCTGGATGAGGACTGACGCCTCCTGGTTGACAAATGAGGGTCCCAAGGACGTTGCCAGCTCCCCAGCTGACCATCTCCATGGCTGAGCCTAGGGTAACCCTGGATGCCGCAGGAAAGAATATTAATTTTCTGATTGATACGGGAGCCACTTATTCTGTACTCACCAAGCATTCCGGACCCACCTTCCCCTCCTCACAAAATACAATAGGAACAGACTTAGCAAAATCAAAGGGCACTGGATCTGCTTACTGCCGCCCAAGGAAAAGCATGTGTCTATTTACAGGACAAAGCACATGATTCAGTAACTTAATTTCTGGTCCTCTTCAACCTACAGATAGGACTAGCACTTCTTATACCTAAGAGTTTTGCTTCTAAGAGACGACAGTCTCCTGCAGATTCCCCCTTACATGACTGGTGCTCCTGAACACTTGCAATTGCTTCATCCTGGAACCCGAAAAGGGCCGACACTGTCTTTCTAATACCTGCACTGCCTCAGAATTGGAGGATATAAAACCTTGGAGTCATCATACTCGGGTAAAATCTAAACATTAAAAGGTAGACTGCGGTCCCTCACTCTAACTTAACTTTAAAGCTCACCCAACTTTCCTGAGATTCTGACTAGCCTCACAGTGATCATGCTCATGACACTGTCCCTAACAAAGCAAAAAAAAAAAAAAAAAAAAAAACTAGTAGGTTTCACTGGGCTTGCAGCTCTGCACACATACAAGGCAACCCTCCCGCTGAGTCCGTGGCTATATCCCTCACTCCAGCATCTCAGGGGTCCCCTGGTGGGTGTTGTCCTTAACAAGGGACACATGGGATTTAAAACAGCTCCTCTGTTAGAAATAAATATCCTATCAACATTCTTTTAAGTCTAACACCACTCTAAAATGGGTTGTTTACCTAGTAAAATTTATTCCCATGTCACAAGCCCAAAACTAACTATTAGACTGCTGCTTATCTTGTTAGTAAGCCTCATACTCAATGGCTGGCCCCAAATGACTGTCCATGTTACCTAGGGCCCTTAGCCGCTGCTACACTTCTCACTCTCCTCTTTAAACCTTAACACACACAATCTCCTAATTAAATTTGTTTCTTCTAACCTAGGGGGAGCTCTTCAAGTTTAAACTCCTCCTCCAAGCAAAAAATAGCTGATCCACACAAGAGAAACAGCCTGTCCAGATGCCTCACCCCTTGCCTCCTTCTGAAACCAGCAACAGTGGGCAGCTCAGGGACTAGTGTCAGGGAAACCATATCCCAGGCTCATGTAGGTAGGGCCAGCTCTGTGTCCCACTCCAGCAGGAAGCAGCTACAGAAAATGAACCTCCTCCCTTCAATTTCCCAAAAGATTTTGGGCCAGATATGGTGGTGGGGTGGGGGGATGATGGAGGGCAGGAATAGAAAAAAACTGAAAAGGAGGCACCACAAGACCAGAAGAGATTATCAGAAGACATTAACATAGCCATGGACACAGAAATGGAAACCACGATCCTTAGGTCCCAAAGCCTAGATTACAAAGCATAAATCCCAAGCAGGGATCAGACTGCTGTAGGGAGTGTCTAGAGCACAGACACAAGAGTAAAGATACGGAGATTGAGCCAACAGACCCCAAAGGTGAAGATATGGAGATTGAGCCCTTGTGGAATCTCCTGTCCCTTTCAGATTCTGCACAGTTATCCAAAATCAGCAACTAACCTGAAGGATCACAAGGAGTGACCCCTCCCAAACAGAAGACTATATCAGTACAGTCTCTGCACAGATGAGGGGAAGCACTTCCTCTGCCCACCTGTGCCTATGCTGGTGCCTCTTCATCCACTCTCACCCAGGCTTCCTGCCTGCTCAAGACCTGTAACATGCCAGGTCTGCTCCTCACTGACCTCCCTCAGCGGAGGCTGCTCTCCTCCAAGCCGACTGCCTGCAACAATGCGCCTCTCAGCAAACCTGTCCCTTTCAGGGCAACTCTTCCTGCCTGTTTGTGTGCAACTTTCCTTTATTCCTCCATCCCTTTCCCTAATAAACCCACTCTTTAAATATAACTAATGTCTCTGCCTCGTGGAGAAACTCACCTGGGAAACTTACCGCTTGCTGCAGAAAGGGGAGCTCTGGTGAAATCTTTCCCAGAGTGAACCTGATGAGGTTTTTGGAGTTAGTGTGGGGTCCTTGGGCAAGGTGTCACCAGAGCTCCCCTTTCAGCAGCATGCGGCAAGTTTCTCCATGAAACAGAGACGGCAGTTATATTTAAAGAGCAGGTTTATTAGGGAAAGGGAAAGGGACAGGTTTGTTGAGAGAGGCCTGCATGGTTGCAGATGGGCAACCATAAGGAGCGCTGCCTCCGCTGAGGGAGATCAGTGAGGAAAAGCCCCGGCATGGGACAGGTCACGGGCAGACAGGAAGCCTGGGTGAGAGTGGGTGAAGAGGCACCTGCATAGGCACAGGTGGGCAGAGGGAGTGCTGCCTTGAGCCTGTGCAGAGACTGTACCTATGTGGTCCTTTTCTGTTTGGGAGGGGTCACTCCTTGTGAGCCTTCATGTTTGTTGCTGATTTTGGATAACCATGCAGAATCCAAAAGGGACCTGAGATACCAGGATGGGGAGTGGAGATTCCAGAATGGGCCCAATCTCTATATCTTTACCCTCAGGTCTGTGCTCCACTCCTTATAGCATCTGATCCTGCTTGGGTCTCATGCCTTGTGATAAGGCCCTGGTGCCTAAGGGTCACAACCTCTACAGCTGGCTTAATGGTCATGTTATTTCCCTCTACCCCCACCTCCTTGTGAGTCAGGTTCTAGTCTTGGGGCACCTCCTTTCCAGTCTTTCTATTCTTGTCCTCTATCAAAGCAAAGGGCCCCCATACTCCAAACCCACTGACTCCAAAAAACCCCATCACTACGAAGCCATCCGCAGCCTCTACGGCACGACTTCAATCCCTGGCCAGGGAGCTACCCACATGGTTCACCAGACCTCTCCTGTGTTGCCTGCTGCTCCCCTCAGCAGTGTAGTTCAGTCATTCTGCCTATACTGCTCCCCAGCACTCTCACCCCCTGCATGTCTGACCTGTATCCCAGTTCTTGTATGCACAACAAACAAATCGTAAAAAAAAAAAAAGAAAAACGAATACACATGGCCAAAGTTTTAAAAGGAGAATCAAAAAATTTCAGTGTCTATTACTGTCTTTGGCCTCTGGAGGGTTAATTATAAATGGCGCCTATATAAATTCTAATAAAAAAATCCCCAATTTTGAGATCACCAATCTAAAATCTTGGTAATCAAAAACTAGTTCAAAACTTAATGGTTGAATATGAAGCATGCATGCTTTAAGGTTATAATGTTGGGTATCAATACTTTATGTTTAAATGTCTTTATTTTAAAAAGGAAGTGCACAGTATTCAGAAAAAGAGTAATGGACTGAGTTTACATCAAAGAAGGTAAGTTTGCATTTTGGTGATTATACCTGATGTTCTCTTGATAAAATTCTTTTCCAGGAAAAGCCCCTTTCCCCTTGTCCTAGCAAAAATTTCAAGATGACGTCTATAGCCTCAACTGCAAGTTACTTAGCAGTCCCGAGTTCCTCACAGGCATGTAGGAAATGTATATGATGTTAAGTCTCTTATTTTTCTTGCTGTTCATCAATCTAACTAGTGCTTGCCTAAGAATGAAATTTGGATTATGGGATTGTTACAATTTGCAACTCTGGAATTAATTTAAAATTCCAGTCCTAAAAAAAACCTAAAAACTACAATTGGTATCTCTCCTAAATTTGCTCTCTTATTATTTTGTAAATAGTGGCCAAATTTTGGGCCTCCCCAGTGGCACAGCAGCTGAGTGCTGGGCTGTGAAGCTGCCCGCAGCCTCTGCAGTGCCAGTTCCACCCCGCCCCCAGGGGAGGGTCCCATATGGCAGGCAGACCTCTCCTGTGGCACTCACTGCTCCCTCAGCAGTTTATTTCGTCAAGTCTGCCTTTCTGCTCCTCGATCTGCCTCTGGTGAATTCTCTCACCCTCCCGCGCTTCTACTGTACCCAGTGCTTGTATGAATAAATAAATAAAAATTTAAAAATAAAAAAAAATTTAAAAAAAAATAGTGGCCAAATTTCATATAAAACTAAGGTTTTACTAAGTTTAACAATGAGAATTTGTTAAATAATTAAAATCACTTTCTCTAAAATCATTGAGCTTGCAGGTTTACTTTTTGCTTCTTATTATAAGAAATCTAAAATTTATTTTATTTTTTAAAATTTTTTTATTATAGTCAAAAGCGCGGGAGGGTCAGAGAATTCAACAGAGTCAGAGCGGGGAATATAACAGGCAGACTGACTAAATATACAGGTGAGGGGAGCAGCGGGGGTGGCAGGAGGTGCCTGCGCGCCATGTGGGACCCTCGCCAGTGGCCAGGGATCAAACCGGTGCTGCACAGGCTGCAGGCAGCTTCACAGCCCAGTGCTCAACCGCTGCGCCACCAGGGGAGGCCCAAAACTAAAATTTAATGTCATCTCACCTAAAAAAATTAAACCAATTAAAACGTGTGTTTATGTCTGAGTTATGCAGTACAAAGGAGTGATAGCATAACAGTCTTTACAATGTCTTACAATCTAAAAATTAAAAACAAGATGTCCTAACTGTAAGTGCAAATAAAGTAAGTTGTGTTAAGGAATGTATTTGAAATGGATATGTTGAGGGTATTGGGAAACATTGAGTGTCAAAATAAAATGGCTGTCTTTAAAAAGAAATGGTATAAAAATAGGAAGGCAAAAGAAAGTGTTGAAGGTCTGAGAGGTATCTGAAAAAAATGTTAGGTGCTCAAATGACTTGCTATGGAAATATTTAAATTTGGTATCAGTAGTGTACTTATGTAAAATCAAACTTTAATTTTCATCTTTAATAGGGACTCAAGTATTCTTAAACTGTTCTCACTGTGTTTGATAACAAATTGACTGTTTATGTAATCTAAAAATCTTTGTGATTTTTTACCCTCAGGCTATGAGAAAAAAATCTTTTCCTGGGCCTCCCTGGTGGCACAGCGGTTGAGCGCTGGGTTGGGAAGCTGGCGAAGCTGCCCGCAGCGTCTGAGGCGCCGGTTGGATCCCCCGGCTGCTCCCCGGCCACCGGAGGAGGGTCCCACATGGCGCACAGACCTCTCCTGCCGCCCGCTGCTCCCCTCAGCAGTGTACTTCGGTCCTTCTGCCTGCTCTGCTCCCCGCTCTGGCTCTGGTGAATTCTCTCACCCTTCTGTGCTTCTGACTGTACCCAGTGCATGTATAAACAAAAACAAACAAACAAATAAATAAATAAATAAGCATGCCTCTATTAAAAAAAAAAAAAAAAAGAAGTGAGAAAGGACGGCGTCCTCTGGTGGCGCAGGCTGTTGAGCGCAACTCTGTGAAGCTGCCCGCAGCCTCTGCCGCGCGTTCCTCTGCCCACCTGTGCCTATGCTGGGCACAGGGTCCCACATGGAGCATTGGACCTCTCCTTCTCGCCTGCTGCTCCCCTCAGCAGTGCATTTCGTCAGTCTGCTTGTTCTGTTCCCCGCTCTGGCTCTGGTGAATCCTCTCATCCTCCCGCGAATCTGGCCTGTACCCCAGTTCTTGTATAAAAATACATGGATAAATATTTTTGTAGGGGCCCGGGCTTCTGGGAATGTCACCGGCCCTGAAGCAAATTGCTGGAGCCACTT